CCTCTCTGCAAATTGTTGAGGAGGCCCTAGGAGCAGGGGTTGTGAAGAAAATGATTAAATTCCTGAAGGTAAAATAACGTCATTGGTTACAACCTGGAGAACTTCCAGGAACATTGTTTTATTTAGGGAACGGAATTGCGATGCTATTTCACTCCTGCTAGATTTTAAATTTCTTGATTGGGGATTGGCTTCTGCCTGTCTACCCAGACTGTGCTCTGAATATCAACAAAAGGTTTTTTAATAAACAAGTAGACTATTCATTAGATATATCCATAAAAACTGCTCACCACTCAAGCCTGACTTAAAACTGTATGGCCTCTGTCCTTGGAAAAGGTGGTCTGAGCGACTTTCAACAAGGTTTCTCAGGCCCCTTCTTTTGCTCATGTTTTCCCGCTCCTGATGCATTTTTCTGGAGAATGGTGAGATCTCATATCTCCATTTATGAGATATGGAGGGTGCAGAGTTACCATGTGACAAAAGGATGTTCGGATTTCCCTTATGATGTGAGTGCAGTGAAGGTAAGCATGTCAGTCCAACAGTTAACTGGACTCACCAGAAAGGGTGCGGTGACTTACTCAGCTGCCATCTCTGGATCCTGTCCATGACGTGTGTGCCCGGTGAGGCTCACTCACCCGTGGTAGCGTGGTGACCCCACGGGAGGCTTATTCATAAAACTCCAGGCTAAATGGGGCCAGGGAGCGTGCTCTGTTGGGAGGCTGCTCCCAGGGCAGGGGCAATACTGAGGGGGCAGGATGGTCGGACTGAGTTTAGTCAGCTACTTGGATGATGACCGTTATTTACTCTGTACAGCCCTTGTAAACCTAGCAGAGTCTGCATTATGCATGATGCATGCTCATGTGCGTTTTGAAGACTCCGCATTAGGTGGTTTTAAGGACTATGATTTGACATTTGTCACTTCTTAGTATCGTCTAGGCTTGTGATGTTCTCTGTGCAGGCCTATCAGCCTGACAGTCTTAGCACGTCAGCCCTCATTCTCAGATGGTGAAATGACACAGGAGGCCTTTTCCTCCCTTTTTGGAAGATCTGCCAGTCAATAGCACCATTCTCTTTGTCAGCCATTCTCTCATTCAGGCTTCCACGGTAATTACTCGGGTGTATATGACAGGCCTACATTCATACTGGGGGCGTGGGCAGTGTTAGAGAGGATGTAAGTGGCACTTCCTCGGCACGGACCAGGCCTGCTCACCAGGAAGCTCACACCACTCTCAGTGGAGCTCTCTGTTAGAAGTTTAGGAAGACACTAGCACAATCACAGCTGCTCACTGTGGTTTCTGACCAAGAACAATCACAGGATTGATTTTATTTTTCTAATTTCATTCAAAACTCTAGATGGGAGGCCAGAATGCATCACATTATGCCATAAAGACCCTAGCCATCTGCACTAATACTTGTCACGAAGCACGAAAAGAAGTGATAAGACTGGATAAAAGTAAGTCATGGTTTCATTAAGCGGAGCCCACATCCCAGAGGTTAATCCATCCTCGAGGCTGCAAAGGGAACTGCAGATGAGCAGTGAGGAAAGACAGCATCATGCCACTAACCTTGCCCCAGACTTCAGTGGTGTCATTTCGCCTCCAGCTCTGAAGGCAATTAATTAGCCTCCGGCTGCAAACAGGTAGCAGGCCCAGGCTGGGGACAGCTGTGAAACAGCTCCAAGGTAACAGGGCTGAAGCTGGGCGCTTCGACCAAGTTAAATTGAAACTGTTTCTGAAACATTCTGCTTAGACTGACCTAACAGGGTCTCTCTTCCTTCACCAGGGGAAGGGAGGGAGAAATGGCTCAACCTTTAGTGAACAAGGAAAATAACAGAGTCCAAGCCTAGCTTTACTCTAGGAACTGAAATTGGCTGCCGTCATAGGTGCGGGTTCCCAGCCGAGGCAGCTGGCTAGCGTTCTCCTTAACACCCCATCTGGAATGCACGGGAAGGGAAGTGAGTGGGGCCCCGCCATGGAGGCAAGAACCTTCCACCCGGAGCCTGCTGCTTGCCCCACAGTCCAGGGTGCAGGCCCGTGGCCTCCCACTCCGGGGCTGTCAGGTGGAGAGTAGAGGTTAAGACGGGGGACTTTAGAGAGGACAGACCCGTCTGCCGCCTAGCGTTCATCCCCACACCTTCTGTGTGTGCCGGGCACTGCTCTGGGCCCTGAGGTCCTCAGAGACACAGGAGAAGGTGAGGAGCTTCGCAGTACTCCACAGAGTGTTGCTGAATGAGCGGGTGACACGTCCATCCTCAGAGCTTTTGGGCAGCTTGGCACCCGCTGACAGACCCTCCCCCGTGCCCCTCATGCCCCTTTGCCAGCGTCCTGTTTGGGATTTGAGGGCTGATGCTTGTTGTCCTTCCTCCCTGCAGAGTTCAGTGTTCTGCTGACACTGCTCAGTTCAGAGGACGAGATTCTGGTGGGGAACGCCGCCCTCTGCCTCGGGAACTGCATGGAGGTGCCGCAGGTGGCAACCTCCCTACTGAAGACCGACGTCGTGCCGGTCTTGTTAAAGCTTGCAGGCAGTGACGCCCGGCAGACAGCCGTGCAGCTGAATGCGGGGATCGCCCTGGGGAAGCTGTGCACGGCCGAGCCAAGGTATGCTTGGGTGGCAGTCAGCGCCCAGCAGGCAGGCCAGGGCCAGCAGGGGCACCGTGCTGTGGCAGGGACCCTGCCACACAGAGCCCGCTGGGGAGCTCTAGGCGCCCTGGTGCCTCCTCTGCAGACCGGTGTTGGGCCCCAGTAGCTGTTTCTCTGGAGGAAGGCTTCCTGAGGGAACGGGGAGCCCTCAGGCCCCTCCCAGAGAGAGGGGAGATGCCTGTGTGTCTGACAGGGATTTGTTCAGTGTACTTACTGCCAGTCGGCTCTCCCCTCCGCTCCCTCCGTCTCCATCCTCCTCTCCTCTTGACTCCTCCCCCCACACACCGTCTCCCTGTCTCTGTCCCTCCTTCTCTGTCCTCTACTTTTCCAGAAAACGTTAGACCTCCCACTTCATGTTTTGCCCAGGGCTTAAGCATATGGGACAATGTCCAGCGAGGGTAACATTCTCGTGCTGGAGAAAACCGAAGGCAGATGCGGAGCAGCATGTCTAAGAGCACCTGACAAGCCAGGATGGGGCCTTGGCTTTAACTGCGTGTATTGCTTCGCTTTAGCTCAGACTTCTGTTCTGCTCTGGTCTTGTTCTGATGCGCCTCAGCGCCTGGCGTGCATCCTCCTGGAGAGCACCTGCCTGCAGCTGAGCGATGGAGCCCCGGTCTAGCTGGGGGCATGCCTTCCTGGGGCAGGGCGAGGCTTTGGCCTGCCTGGTTCTTTTACAGACTCACACCTCCACCTCTGATTCCTCCTCTGTAGAATGAGAGGGCTGGCCTGGATGACACCTAAGGTCCTTACAAGTTCTGATTGTTCAAATGGAAGGAATGGGTAAAATCTTTCTTCCACAGAAAGCGAGGCACATTAGCTAGCACAAGCTCCAAGTGGCAGCCTCCTGGGGAGCAAGGTCCCATCAGATCAGCCCGTCACATCTGCCACTCATAGCAAGAGTGTTCGCAGTGTATTGTGGGTCTCCCCGAGGGCTCCCAGGGCCACTGCCCCTTTCAAAATTCCCAGCCAGGTCTACCCAAGCAGGGGACGCTCTGGGTGCTGGAAGTCTACACCATGGCATTTATGTCCTAGAGTTTGTGTTCTGATTTTGACAGGTTTGCTGCTCAACTGAGAGAGCTTCATGGGATAGAAATTCTCAACTCTACCATGAAGTACATCAGTGACCCTTGAGAGACGTGGTGTGTGCAAACAATGTGACTGTTTGCTCTGGGTTGTTCCTGTGCTAATAAAGACTTCGAAAATATCCACTCCAGAACTGAATATTGATTTTCAAAGTGCTCGCCTGTTTTCATTGGTAACGAGGCATCAGGCCAGCTACCATGGTGGGAACTGGCCTGCTCATCCATCACGCCCTCCTTATAATGTCCCCTCCGTATAACGTCCCTTCCTGTTGTGTAGAGGCTGGATGCCAGCACACAAAAAGCCATACTTCCCAGACTCCCTTGGAGGCAGTGGTTCTAGATGGAAACTAGATTCTGCCCACTTAACACCCTTCCTGCCACTTTTGCTATTTCCTGCTGCCAACGTGCTAGAAACATCAGCTTTTCAGCAGCAGCATGTTGGTGTCCATTTTCCAGCTCGGGAATACCAAGAGACAGATGCAGTGGCATCAACAATGGTGGCAGCTTCCTGAGGCCTGGCCTGGCACTGTGGCATGTGCTCTTGAATTCAGTGGGCCCAGTGCTGGGTGGTGGCTCCCCTGGCAGGGAGTGCTGTATGATCTGGGAAATCATTCCTGGAAGCACCACCTGGTGCACTCCACCATCCCACCTAATGATGCTGTGAGCACCCCATTCCATGTGTCAGCACGAAACTCACAAATTCAGACATATTTGTTTCCCTAATCCACCTTTCATTCTCGGCCCATGCCCAAAAGGTCCTGCTCCCTTGCAGTTGCCCCAGGTCCACTGAAACTGTCAGGGCCACCTCTGGACCCCCAAGTCCCTAAGTGAAAAGTCCAGAAAGTGACACGATTCTTCTACTTCTCAGTACACTCACTAGACCACTTTAGGGGAGGAGGCAGGACCTGCATGATATAGTGAATGCCAAGAGTCCCAGACCAAAGTTCCAAAGACTTATGGTCGTGTCCTGCTACCTGGTAGATACATGACTTTGGGCAAGTCACAACCTCTCTGAGCTTTGGTTGCTGCTTCTGGAAAAGTTAGAGTAATACCTGTCCAACCTATCTCCTACATTGTTGTAAAGATTAAATGGCATTTTAGAAGTAAAGGCACTTGGGGAATTATAAAGCACTACACAAATATAAGAGATTATAAGGCTTCACCTTGACCATGATATCACTTCGGTTAAATTTGAGGGCCTGGGAAAGAGTAAAGCACACGTCCTTTACGGAATCAGAGCTGGACAATTTCTGGACCACGTAAGAAAGGAAATCCTCCTCCTCCTCGGAGATTTACTCATCACACCCAAAGAAATGGTCCCTCACAAATGAGGTAGCTCATAGCTTTAAATGAAGAACTTTGCTCCTGAAACCAAGGTAGGTAATTGGCACTTTGAGGGGCTGGAAGGAAACCAATAGCCCCAAGCCCCTCACTGTGAGATCAGTGCACCTCATGGGGCTAGAGGAAGCTCACTGGAGTACCCTGTGATGGTGCCATTCCATTGTCCCTGGGCGGCAGTCAAGTGACAAGCCACAGAGAGGCCAGGTCCTGCCCACTTAGTCTAATCGTGCAAACAAACACACTTCAAGAGGTTACTGAATTGCAAAGGGAGATGATTTGATGCTAAACGGAGCACAGAGAAGAAAATTAGAGGCTGCAAAATGTGCTGTTTTGGGAAAGAATTCAATGGAGCTTTAAAAATGGAAAAGACTGCCTGTGTACATAACCAGCAGGCTTGTCTCCCCTGAAGTTCAGACCCCCCCTTCTCCCCCTCTTTGGCTGCACTCCTCCCCAGCTCTTGAAAATGGCTATTATACATGGAATCTCTTCCCCAAAGAGGGGGGAAATGTCAAATTATATTATCTTTGCTTCAGAGTGCCTGCCGAGAGCAGTAATCTCTGCTTTGGAGGAGGGTCTGGCTGCACCTGAGGAGTTCCCTCCTCTCGCAGGTGGAAAGTTGTACATACTGGTTTTCTCCATCTCCAGTGCAGAGCCACCCCTCCTAAATCGTGTTACCTCTAGCACACACCCATACAGGACTCCCAGGCAGCGTGGAAAAAAACCAATTACATGTTGAAAACGGGGCTCACCTCTTTGTGCCAGGAGCCACTAGCACCATCCTCCCCATTCTCGGGGTCATGGCTTATTTCGGGAAAGCAGTCTGCTGGTTCCACAGGCAAAGGAGTTGGGATCCCGTCCTAAGGAGGATGTGACCAGGATGGATCTTCCTAACCAACCTGAAGCCACAGCAGAGGTGTTAGGTAACAGATGTTAATAGCTGTCCTAGACAATGTGACAATGGCAATTCTAGAGGGCAGCAAGGCAGGACTGAGGATAAATGTTGGGAGGCAGTAACAGGAAGGGGCAGGACATGCTGCTCGGGCCAGGGCTTTATGGTAAGCACTTTCCTGAGGATATATTAGAACAAGAACTTGGCTTAAGAGAACTGAGTGAAGAATAGCACGACCTGGCAGTATCCTGAGGCCAGATGACATTTAATCTTCCACAAAACGTCTCATTTTCTAAATGTCTGGAATATACAGACTCCCTAAAGGGCCCAGTAATTCACACCCTTTCCCAATTTACTCCCTTCTTCAGTGTGAGAGGCTCATGGTCCTCACTGACCTGCAAACCTGCAGAAAGAGAACAAATCCTGCCCCTGCACTGAGCATGTGCTCTGCACGAGGCAAGCGCCTAAAGATTTTGTCTCATAAAGACCCTGTAGGGTAGGCATCATTGCCACTTCACGGGTAAAGGAGCTAAGGTAGGAAGACAAAGACAATGCACACTTCCTACCCAGGGTCACATAGCCACTGAGCAGGGAAGTCAGAATCTGCCCCCAGCCTGTGTTTTAAACTCTTGCATGTAAAACATGCCTCAACTTGTTTTATGCGGCATGAGGAAAAGTCGTCTAGTTTTCCTGAGCCCCAGTTTCCTTTCTTATAAAATAGGAGCAATACTTCCTGCCTATGGAGTTCTGTGGTTTGGATACAATGTATGTAAAGCGCCTGGCATAGGTGAATGGAAAAATAGAAGGCATTTACTTAACGGTGACTTACGATTTTTAGACAAGAAATTACCATGGACTCATTGTCTTGCCCCGCCACCCGTGCCAATCCGCTCATCTCTAGGTATCCCATCTTAACGAAAGCAAGTGGCTATTTGGTGGTTCTCTTTGTCTTGCCCGCTCTCTTGTACCAGGTGGCAAACATGAGGCTCCCTGAAGACCTAGCTGCCTGCCAGCTGTCTGCCTTCTCATATGCTCCCTCTGAGGCAGCAAGGTCTGCGGGCCCCACGCCTGGGTGGGGTGGGGTTCTGAGCACACCAGGGCTCATGGCTGGGTGGCAGTGTTCCTGACCAGGAACTGAGTAGCTGGGGACTGCCCGGGCCTGGGGCCAGGCTGCATTCACATCAGCAGGACCTAGTGTGCAGTGGACTGGGAGCCCTGACACTGGAAGGGCAGTAGGTGGTAGGATTAATGCTCCAAAGTCCCCTCCCCAAACAGATGTTCCCCTGTCACTTGCTATTCGTCCTCAATTTAGACTCAGGGAAACCTGTTGATTCCAAGGACTGCAACTCCAAGAACACATTCATCAGGATATCTTTAGTTATTTTTTCCTCAAGCCCCAAGGGCTGCAACCACCCCCCTCCCTGAGTGCCCTGGAAAGGAGGCATGGGTAACAGCAGGACAGACAGCTGACCTTCACCTCCAGCAGTCCCCAGGCCTATTGCTGCTCTGTGCCAGGGAAGCTCTGGGCTTCTGTGACCTGAAGCCCGCTGGATGACTTTTTTTTTAAAAAAAACAAGACCCCAAATTTGATTTCAATTTTAAAACAGCAAAATGAGGAATGGGTTCTCCCTGGAGGCATTCTGACCCTGGGTCTGATTTTACCCTGGGGCCAGGACCAGGTTTCTTTGGCAGCTGTCAGTCTCAGCCCTGGTAGGGAGTGGGGAGTGGGCCCTTGGGTGCCAGCAGGGTAGGGGGAGCAGCGACTGCTCATCCGCTCTGACAGCCACCCCAGCGCCAGAGCTGGGTCGGAAGGAGGCACTCCCTGTGAGTGTGGGGTCTGCCAGATGTGCCAGTTCAGCTCAGCCCAAGCATCACTCCCCTCATCATATGCCGTCTCCAACTTCACATTTGCGCTTTTATCTTTAGCAGCTCCATCTGCTCATTAGGATCACTCGCTTCCCCTCGAGCCACGCGTCCACCCAGGCACATGCGTGCACATGCAGACTCTACCTCTCTGCAGCCACGAGATGGATTTCCACATAAAAACGGGTGAGTTCACATGCAGTGGGGACGCAGACTAGATCAAAAGCATGGCAAGATAATGAGAAGTATTGGAACAGGTGGTGAGGACAAAGCCTTCTAGGATGTCTAAGCTGAAAATAATTTAGGGGCCATCTAATCCAGTATGTTTGACTGGAATCCATCTCATCTTATTTGCTAAATACAATTCACTGCTTAAATATGTGCAGCCCAAGCACACCCCCTTTTTACAAATAAGGAAATGAAAACTCCAAAAGGCCAGGAGGTCTGTGCTCTATGTGCCAGAACCCTCGGAATCAAGGAGCCAGAGAAGAAGGGCTGGGACTCAAAGCACCTGCCAGGAAGAAGTAAGTGCAGTAACCAATGGCAGGCAGCTGTCCTAGCGCCTGGGCTCCAAGCCCCGCTCCACCGCTTATATCACTGAGCCCCTTAATTGCCTTGTCTATAAAAGGAGGGGGTGGGGAAGTATAACACCTATTTCATGGGTGTGTTGTAAGGATTAAAATAGCGGATTTCTGTAAAGTGCCCAGCTTTCTTCTGGGCCAGTAGCCACCGTTGTTGTCATTATACAGGAGTCTGCTGCTTCTGTAGATGACCCCTGCCTGGCCATCCATGAGTGCTCTTTTCCTGAGTTCTTAAATATGAGGATTTTTATCAGGATTGAAAGGGCCTGACTCTGCCAGAAGGTGAGGGATAGAGAAGTGGGCTTCCAAGTTCAATGTTATCCGGATGCAACCTGACAGGCAGAAGTGGAGGTCTGGGCTGGTGAGGATGGCTGGTGGGAGTGCAGGGCAGGTGGGGGGAGGCCGGGTGGGAGGCACACAGGAAAGCATGGAGGATTCAGACGTGCAT